ATATGGGTTTGTTAATTTGACATTTTCAGTTTTACATTTTTTGAGTTTTTATTTCTATAAATATCAATAAGGTTTTATCTGTTGTGCCAAAAGTGTAAAAAATTAATACAAGGCTTCTGATATATTGCTACAATATCAATTGAAAAATATTACGAAGACAGATCTTGGATACGCTATGCGCCTATGCTACATCATATTCCACACAAAAAATATATTAATATCCAAACATTGTATATGTCTGTTGACTAATTTTTATTGGCCTTTGGCAAATTCAGACCAAAGAAAAATTTGTTCGTATTTTTAGGAACTTAACATACAGCAGTCAGCAATACAGAATATAGATTCCCTCTGTCAAACGTCTACAATCGTAAGGAGATAAGACATGTTTGCAAATTATGTTTTTGCTTAAAAAACCAAAAGCCAGTATCATAAATATAAACGTCAATTTATACCCATTAAAATATATAAAATATTATGCGGATAATCACTTTGTGTGCTCCAGTATTTAATTATTTTGCAGTTTTATTTACTCGCAAAATTTGATATTTGATATTTATTTCTCACCTAGTCCATACATAGTAACCAAAATATTCAAACATATATAGTTACCATCAGTGGCGTATCCAGGGGGGGGGGTTAGGGGGTTGTAACCCCCCCCCCCCCCCCGAAAATTGTTAAATTATAACAACGTTATCATTAATAAATCATTTTAAGATAAAATTCCACAAAAATAAATTATAACCCCTCCCGAAAAAAAATTCTGGATACGCTACTGGTTACCATGTCAGCATTATATACTGTTAAATAACATAATTTTGTGGTTCACTTCATAATTTAGTGTCAGAGATATCACTTACAGTTATTGTTCAGTTTATAACTTGTACGTTCGTCTCTTAAAAGTTAAAACAATTAATATGTCTTCAGATAATACTTCGATTCAGTCTGAAGTGATGGATTATGTCTGTAAAACAAGCCGTGAAAAAGATTGCAGTGGTGCCATGGACCCGGTGTTGGCAGGAAAAAAACGCTAAACGTCGACGCCGCGCCACTTACATAATGCAGCCTACACCCATTTCTTTAAGTCGGTCAACCGAGGATTTCAACCACGGTTTTTCTTGCCGGGCCAGATTTTACGGTGCGATGGCCGCTAAGCGCCTAAAAGGAATTTATTTTTCAAATATTGCTGCAGCGGCCAATGAAGTAAATGGACCGACCGATTTGGTGGACCAGATCGCGGAATTCATATTCCAGCGGCTAGTAAGGGCTTTAGGAAATGACATAAAAAATACGGTTAAACGTCGTCGCCCCGCTTACATACAGCCTACTCAGATTTCCTTAAGTCGACCCGAAGAGGATTTGGACCATTTATTTTCAAGCCGGGCCCAGTTTTACGGTGCGATGGCCGCTAAGCGGCTAAAAGCTCATTATTATGGCAACATTGGTTTTGCGAAAACGGAAAGAAATGTGCCAATTAATGATTTAGTAGACCAAATACCAGCAGGGTCTACGTTCCGGCGACTGGTCAAAAATTGTGTAAAGGACTTGGCGATGAACGCCTGTACACCGGAGTTGCCCTTCGCCTGTGCACAAAACTTGCCGGCCCAAGTTTCGACGGTCGAAATAGTCGACCCGGTAACTATTATTGAAAATGATCAGGACGTGGCGTCTGGCCAAACGACAGAGTCCGGCATCCAAGTCCACGAACAGGTGCCACAAGCGGTTAGCGTAGAAATAAAGGTAAAACGTAAGCGAACACTTTGGTCCCGCGCCAAAAAATTGTTTTCACGTATGATATGCTGTAGCTGTACTACAGCAGATTAGAAAGTATTGTAAATCGTAAATTTCCTTAAATATTATATCACCTATATATTATGTTTATGTATTATTCCTACATAAAATACCAAGCCTTTCAACCCCGAATATATAAATTTGGACTACATAAACATAATACATGGGTAGGTAGGTACCTAATCTAATTTCTATTCAAGTTTATAATTTACATTTGGGTACATTATTAAATAACACTTAAAATAGAAACCGATATTAAATTAATTATTCAACATAAACATATTTAATTTGTAATTGATGCAATTTCTTGTAGGTATAATACATAAATAATATACTGTGTGATCACGATATTAGGTACCACTAAATATCTCAGATGGGTGATTTTGTATTGAAATGGAGTTTTCGGGAGGTGATAGGGAGCACTTAAATACTTATTTTCAGATCAGTTTAAAATGTTTAGCTCACTCGGTACGTACATGCACAGACGACTTACTTTTTTTTAAATGGCAACCCCAGTTGTTTAATGCAGATTCGGGTAGAGTATTTTTTTTAAACATTTATTGTATAAAAAGTTTTTTAAGTCGCAACCGACGCCTTAGTCCACTCGGCCACTCCGTCTACCATTAAACATTTATTTGGCAATTATTTTATTATTTGCAGTGGTTATAAATGAAAATTACACTAAACACATATTAATCATATTATGCATAAATCCAACTTTTGACTTACTCGAACTTGGTCGGTTTTGAAAATAGAAAAAAACTTTTTATACAATAAATGTTTAAAAAAAAATACTCTACCCGAATCTGCATTAAAAAACTGGGGTTGCCGTTTAAAAAAAAGTAAGTCGTACTGTGCATGCACGTACCGAGTGAGCTAAAAATTTTAAACTGGTCTGAAAATATGTATTTAAGTCTCCATATCACCTCCCGAAAACCCCCATTTCAATACAAAATCACCCATCTGAGATATTCAGTGGTAGGTACTTAATATCGTGATCACACTGTATACATAATAAATAGGTAATCTAATTTTTATACAAATTTACATTATTAATAATACATAAAATAGGAACCGTTTTTGAATTTATTATTCAACGTAAAAATATATTATTTATAATTAACCCTTCCAACGATCGATTATTGTGAGTTGCATAATTAAATAAAGTAATATGTATTTTTATAAATTGGACCACTGTTATTTAGTGTATAATTTGAATTTCCTTCGAAAACAATCATTTCTCATCACTCCTTATTCAAAGCAATTCAAAGACTTAATGTCCTAGATTTAGAAAATTTAGACGCATTTTAAGATAATTAATTTTAATAATACATTAGAAAAAAAATATAGTTCCGTTTCAATTAGTTGTTTATCCATCAGAAAATATTATAAACATATAATTTAATTTTACGATTTTCACAAAACTTATATCAATAGGCATATATGAATGAAATCATTGATATGTTTATTATAACGTAGACTCCCAAAGATATATGCATCATCAATTTATTTTTGTTGCCATTTGTAGGACGTGTGTTCGCCCTCCGACTGAATGCTTAAAACTTCAAACATAAATCAATATTTAGCAAGGTTTTTGCAAGTAATTGCAAGTCTATTAATACAATTTGTAAGTTAGTAGTTTTGTCAGGAAACAAAAAACATGAAAGTAACTTCACACACCACACACGTATTTGTAAATTTGGCAATGTTTGCAAAATTAGTTCATGGGTGCCCTGCAATGATTCATTTGTACACCATACCTTTAAAGAAAGATGTATTTAAAAAAATATTTATATTTTAATCGTTTTCCTTTAAATTAGATATAAGAAGTAAGGTTCAAGCAAAAAAAAAAATGATAGTCAAAAATTCAACTCCCTTTAACCCCGAATTTATAATTTTTGACAAACATTTTTTTTTTGTTTGAACCTTACTTCTAATAACTAAATTGAGGGAAAACGATTAAAATATAAATATTTTTTTAAATGAATCATTGAGCATCAATGAACTAGTTTTGCAACATTGCCAAATTTACAAATACGTGTGTGAAGTTACTTTCATGTTTTTTGTTTCCTGAAGAAACTACTAACTTACAAATTGTATTAATGGACTTGCAATTATTTGCAAATAACTTGCTAAATATTGATTTCTATTTGAAGGTTTTAGCATTCAGTCGGAGGCCTAACACACGTCCTACAAATGACAACAAAAATAAATTGATGATGCATAAATCATTGCGCGTCTACGTTATAATAAACATAACAACGATTTCATTCAATGATATAAGTTTGGGAAAATCGTAAAACTAAATTATATGTTTATAATATTTTCTGATGGGTAAACAACTAATTGAAACAGAAATATTTTTTTTTCTAATGTATTATTAAAATTAATTACCTTAAAATGCGTCCAAATTTTCTAAATTTGGGACATTGGGTGCTTTGAATAAGGATAGTGATGAGAAATGATTGTTTTCGAGGGAAAATCAAATCATACACTAAATAACAGTGGTGCAAGTTACAAAAATACATATTAGGTAGGTACTTTATTTAATCATGCAGTTCACAATTTAATCCATGGTTCACTCATGGTTGTCACAGAAAAACAGATTAATTGTTAAATATCATGATGTATAAAATCATCACTGTTCTGGGAAGGGTTAATTACAAATAATATATTTTTATGTTGAATAATAAATTCAATAACGGTTAATATTTTATGTATTATTAATAATGTAAATTTGTATACAAATTAGATTACCTATGTATTATGTATATATCTATGTATTATAACTACACAAAACTGCATCAACTGCAAAGAAAATATGTTTATGTTGAATAATTAACTCAATATCGGATTTTATGTGTTATTTAATAATTTACCTAAATGTAAATTGTAAACTTGTATAAAAATTAGATTACCTACCTATGTATTATGTATTATTTTTATGTAGTCAAAAATTATAAATTCGGTGTTGAAAGGCTTGGTATTTCATGTAGGAATAATACATAAACATAGGTGATATAATATTTAAAGAAATTTACGATTTACATTTTCATTAATACATAAGTGCTTATGTATTAATGAAAATTATAATATATAAGTAGGTAATCTAATTTTTATAGAAATTTACAATTTACAATACTTTATAATCTGCGGTAGTAAAGCAAACAATTTTTTGACTCGGAACCAAAGTGATCGTCTACGTTTTACCATTATTTCTGCTGGTGGCACCTGCTCGTCGACTTGGATTCCGGACTAAGTCGTTTGACCAGACGGGGCACGTCCGGAACATTTTCGATAAACGTCACGAGGTGGACTATTTCGACCGCCGAATCTTGAGCCGGCAAGTTTTGTGCACAGGCGAAGGGCAACTCCGGTACACAGGCGGTCCTCGCCAAGTCCTTTACACAATTTGCGACCAACTGCCGGAACGTAGACCCTGGTATTTGGTCTACCAAATCATTTGGCACATGGCTTTCCGTTTTCGCAGAAGCATGCAATGCTGCCATAATAATGAGCTTTTAGCCGCTTAGCGGCCATCGCACCGTAAAACTGGGCACGGCTTGATAATATATGGTCCAAATCTACGGCGGACCGACTTAAAGAAATCTGCGAAGGCTGCATTATGTAAGGGCGGCGTCGACGCTTAATCGTTTTTCCGACTACTTACTTCAGTAGACCGTGTTGTATCAACCGTATTTTTTAAGTCATTTCCTAAAGCCCTTACTAGCCGCTGGAATATGAATTCCGTGATCTGGTCCACCATATCTGTCGGTCCATTTAATTTCGCTGCAGCAATGTTTGCAAAATAAAGTCCTTTTAGCCGCTTAGCCGCCATCGCACCGTAAAATCGGGCCCAGCTTGAGAAACCATGGTTCAAATCCTCGGCGGACCGACTTAAAGAAAATGTGCGTAGGCTGCATTATGTAAGCGGCGCGGCGTCGACTGACCAATGCCGGCGAAAAACGGTACTGTCAGTTTACCATAATCGAACTCTATATATAAAAACCACACAAAACAGCATTTGGGCTCAAGAGCCGTCAGAAAATCCTCGGTAATACTATAATAACTATATACAATGTGTAAAACTATTATTATAATCTATATTGTTTTCATATTTTTTTTTCTTTAGTACAACAAACGGATCGGAGAGCTTAAAGAACATATGATGCACAGTTTCATAGTCCACACCCTTCTATTAATTTGGTTATATCAGTTCTGAAGAAAACACAACAAGAGACTTGCACAAAAATAAAATCAGCATCCAAAGGACGTTTCAATGAAATGGCCTTAACCGACAAACAACGTTTATACCACACAATTAACGAATATAAAGAATATTTAATTCACAAAAATATAATCAAATATTTGTAACAAGTACCAAGGTATCAAATTATAATTTTACATATTTTTTACATATTTTTACATGCATACATTTTATGTTTTGAATTGACAAATTTTCATTAACTTTTTTATTGACAGTCAAATAAATAACAAATTGAAAATAATTATTATAATTACATTATATTGTATTATTAACATTGCAGATAAAATCGTACGGAATCGTGTTGTTTTTGTGGATAATTTGACAATCCATTGTTTGATCAAATTCGTACGGAACCGTGTTGTCAAAAAGGTAAAACGTACGGAATCGTGCTTTACAGCAGGCGAGGGGCAACTCCGGTGCACAGGCGGTATTCGCCAAGAGTCCTTTACACAACCAGCCGCCGGAACGTAGACTCTGGTATTTGGTCTACCAAATCATTTGGCACTTGGCTTTCCGCTGTCGCGGAAAAAAATTAGATTACCTATGTTTTATGTATTTATGTATACACTAAATTGCTTTGATTACAAATAATATATGCTTATGTTGAATAATTCAATACCTATCGGTTTCAATTTTATTTATTATTAATAATCAACACCAAAATACAATTGAAAAAAAAACGTGGGCAAGTGACCCAGTCTCTGTGATTTATACGTTAAATTTGAATTCAATGATATAAAAACATTGAATACGAAAAACGATTCTGACTTTGATCTGCCATCTTAAAGACAATAATATTACTAAGTATATTTTATAATATTACGGCTGTTAAGATAAATTATTTTACTATTAGACAATAGCACAGTACTTAAAATATAGATTAAAGTAGTTTTTTCCAAAATACTTGCATTTAAAAATTTTATTGTGTGTATACAGCAAATAATTTTATATATACATTAATAGTTTCAAGTAGGTACCTACCCACAGTAAAATGTTTAAATTATAACAAAATAACTGAAATCATTATTCGTCATTTAAATATCTAATTCTGTCAACATTTTAACTACACTTATGAAAAAAATTGTGCATATCTACATAATACATATCTTTAATGTTTTTATTCTATTATTAAAATAACTTCTTATGTAAACTACCTTGTATTCCATTTTTAAATCTTAGATATAAACAAAAAATATTTTATTAATATCTAACTCATAATAGCTTGCACGTTTTTATAATTTTGATGAATTTCGTCACTCATAATATAGAAAATATAATATATATAGTTAAAATGTGGCAATGAGTAAAAGGAAACTGAGAAAAAAGGGGCGCCAAAATGTGTGTACCCAGGGTGCCAAAATCTTAAATACGCCATTGGACGCCAGCTATGAGCTATATAGGAAAAGTTTAACGATAAAATGATTAATTTTTGAAATAGTTCAACTTTATCTAAGTAAAAAAAAATTTTAAACATTTACAAAATGATACAAAAATTGCTTGAGCTCTAACTCGTAACTTCAAACTTGTAATCAAGTATACAATATCATAATATGACAAACACAACTCTTAAATTAAATTATTGTAATTTGTGTACCCAATTCACTTTTAACTGCGTTAAGTTGCCTATCGATAAAATACAGTAATCTAAAAATAATTATCACAACCTACAATAAATAAATTATAAAACAATTTCACTTAACAACTACAAATTGGCATTATTTTATACCTAGTGTTTTAAATTGTTTTAAAATGTAAATTTAATGTGTTCTTCACATTTTTCTTAAAATATTAAATTGGTATAGTTTATTCGTCATCTTCTTCAAGTCTGTGATTCACATACATCATTTGGTTGTTCAATACTTCATTCTGCTCAAGAAAATCATCACGAATATCGACCAAGTCATTGTACAGTTCATCTAGTGTATGAAATAATACAAATAATAATTACATAAGTTCTTAACTTTTGTACTATCGAGTGCGTGGGAGCTGATCATTACCGTTGAAAAAACTATGCGATTTTCCTGACCCTCCTACCTCTGCTGGTAATTCATTTCTCGATATGTAATTGAATATATCATCTGAACCGACTGGATGAAGTGTTATCTGCAAATTATCACATGAAGCTATTGTATTAATTAACTAGATAAACCGCTATTAGTAATAAATAATTATACAGTTATGAACAGGGGCGGAGTGGCCGGTCTGGAAATGAGAATTTTCCAGATGGCCTGGACCGTACTATTGTAGTAAGCAAGTTACTTGTTACTACGTATCAATAAAAACAATTCCATAGGTGTATATTTAGAATAATATACTGTAGATCGGCATAAATCAGATATTAAAAACGGAAATAGGATTTCCTCCTGTTTAACATGAGGAGACAAGCTCACTGAATGACTCAGGCGGAATGGTTCAAAAATAGGCGGATGTAATATTTTACAGAAGCACTGAACACGACGATATTCAAATATAAAAGAGTAAAATGATTATTTTAATGAAATAGACCATAGATTAATTATCAGCATATTTTAGTAATACGCAGAATATATTGGGAAATCGTGAATGCGTGGGCTGGAACGATGACCACACAAATCACATCCGTGAGAACCGAGATACAGTATCTATAGGCAAGGGGTACGGGGAACCTCATATATAAGGGAGCCCGAATCGGCCTGTATTCAGACGTGTACGACCACACATTAGAGCAAGCACTTACACGCCACTCTGTACAACATTATTTGGACTTTGACAAAATTATTGAAGTAGGTACTAATAATAAATTCACGATACCTATACAACAACTGTCTACTTTATAATCAATCACCACAACGACATCATCAGAAGAAGTGTCTGCTACCCGCAACGTTAATATTTTAGTAGCCACTTGTCTTACTATTATACTACAATAGTAGTCACCTGGCCTACCAGCATATTACACTAGCGCAGTCGGAAAAAGGAGGTTCACGGAGTTTCACGGATTTCAACTTCCAAAGGCGAGTCCTGCAGCAGTCAAGGCGGCGAAATTCAACTTCGGAGGTCTAGTTCCGGCGCAGCAACTAAACCACGTCAACAGCTCCACGGAGGCAGTTCTAACGAATCACAGTCGACGTCTGATCAACCAAGGCGACTCCGGAATCAACGAACAAATCAAAGACGGGACATCTTGGTGGAGGTGTAAAATATATTAAATAATATTCGAATAAAAATAAATAAAAAACAAGCTTGTTAGGAACTATATAGGTGTTTTGGGATAGGCAGCAGGGCCTGACCTAAATATTTTATGGTATTTTTTTTTGGTAATAGACAGCAGGTACTGATCTAATGAATTAAAGTAATTATTGAGAATAAATAAATAGGTAGATCTTTAGCGTTAGGCTGATCTAGGAAATTGATGCACGCGCGTAGCATTTTGAATATATATATGGAAATAATTGATTAAAGCGAAATATTGAGTTTTTAAGTTGAATATGGAATGATAGACAATTGTTGAAAGAAATTAATTGATATATATTGAAGAAAATAGATTTTGTTTTGAATTAAAAGGCAGTAGATGACCTTGTTAAAACTTAAAAGTAATTGACGTCAAATTTTAAAAAGTTTTTTTTTTTTGAAAAAGAATTAATTATAGGGCCCTAGGATAGAATTGAGTATAATATTAATACGAATAAGTTAATAGAATAATTGTTAATAATTAATGAAAAGTTAATTTTTTTTGTTTAAAATTAAATGGTTAAAGCGCGTAAGTTAAAAAATTAAATCATTTAAATAAATAAATTAGTAATAAGAAAAATAAGGGATAGGAAGTCGAATATTATTAGAGGGATTTACGGAATAATTAACCGGAGATTGTTTTAATAATATTCGAACGCGGTACAAGCGCGTACTCATGAAACATCGCGGAACTGGGCGAGCAGAACGGGTGAGGAAATAAACCGTAACGAAATTTAACACGCGTAGCATAGGCGATTGAACGTTTTACGTGTTATTTGATAGGTACTCATCAATTTACGACGTACAACGCGCGTTTACGCAATTTATTTTATGAATAATTATATGTGCATGTTGTTTATTTTGAAAGTAATAGTATATACGAATTGGTAATTTTGAGGATAATAATATATACGTATTATTCATTTTGGGGATGGTAGGTACGTGTTGATTGTTTTATAAATAATAATAGTATATACATGTAGAATAAATACTATTGGTAATTAAATACGCGGAGAGAATATTAATGGAATA